GATTGACCCATCTATCTTATATATCACTAAGAATCTTTTCCAACTTCCGATGTGGGACACTGTGTGTCTAATAGAACTTAGCTAGATATACGAAGAATGTCCTATACATTATTCAAAAAATATATTTCGATGAACTGATATAATATCTTTTTCAGTGGGCCCCAAAATTATAATACTTAAATTCAATTTAATTTGCCTTGAAAAAAAATACTATTTTGTATCTTCCATTTATTATTGCGCGCACTCGTCGCAGAAACAGGTATTCCTCGCTGTCTAAACTGAAAAATAAGATCGCTTTAACTCAAAAGCTCTCACACAAAGACAAAGATCTTCTTCTCTCTCTCTCAGATACTGAAAGGTAGTAACAATGGAGAACCCTCCAGATCAAATAGAGTCAAAGGAGATGATGCTTCAACCAAGAATCACAAGACCAAAGGGTGGACTTCTCACTATGCCCTTCATCATTGGTAATCAAAACATTACATCCCTCTCTGACTTCTTGATCGATTTTTTATTCTCTGAATGTCTTCTTATTCTTGTTGTTGGTGAATGAAGCAAACGAGGGGTTTGAGAAAGTGGCGAGCTATGGATTGTTACAGAACATGATTCTTTATCTGATGAGTGATTACGGATTGGGACTTGTGAAAGGACAAAACGTGTTGTTCATGTGGGTCGCTGCTACTAACTTCATGCCTCTCGTTGGAGCATTTCTCTCAGACTCGTATTTGAGTCGCTTTCTCACCATCTCCATTGCATCTCTCTCCAGTTTCCTGGTAAATATATATACTTTACAGTTTACATCCTCTCAGTTTTCATTTCAAGAATACGTTTATGCTTCTTCTCCTTTTCCGGTTTACTCCGGTATTTGTTTCCGGTTTGATTTCAACTCTTAAATTTCACCAGCTCGCTCACATTAGTAATTTAGTAACCAGTGAGCCCTTCGGTTTTGTAAATGGCTTCTTTATGTTTTTATACGGTTTTTGTCAGTACTGAGGCTTGAGGGGATTTCAGGTTGTTGTTTTTTTCGTGCTAAAATTGGAAATTATAAACCGGGATTTTCGGTTTAGATTGAATTGGGTGAAAGATGTAAACCAATAATTGGGACTTTACTTTGGGTCAATATAACCATCATAGAATTAAGGGCCTTTGAATTAAATGGTACGAGGTTTTCTAGAAGTAATTCTTAACTTATTAAAACCCTCGGAACTCGGAAGGGTGATTTAATTTGTTTTTACTAGCTGGTAAATTTCAGGGGAATATTTTACATTTTACTATCAGTTCTTGAATCACTAAAAGCTGTTCATTTGTTGAAAGTATACAAGACTAAGGGTTATCTATAACTTATACAGTAAACTTTCTATTTTAAGTGGTATGATTATGATTTGTAGAAGAAGCCTCTTTCCGTTAAGAGTCAAAATTTCTCACATGTGGCATGTGCCACCCTGAAATTGCTGTCCAATAAATAAAATTAAGTACAAAAAGCAGGGATTCTGAAATGTCCATGTGATTATATCACAACAGGTCTTAATATCCATAAGTATTTAAATATCATTATCGTAATTAATTAATTTATAAAATTCTGGTTGCGAACCTTGTGGCTGTGGTGGCCTTCTGAGCTTTCTCTGGCAAGTTGTGTGTGAATTCTGACTGTGATCACTGATCACCCACTTGAGAAAAAATCTTACCATAAGTATATCGTTATTTTTAAAAATCTTTAGCAATCATTCACGTCGTTCAATCATTTTCATTAGAGAACGATATCTTCCTTAAATTTGGATTCTTGCTATTTGGAAGTATTTTACGAAAGAATTGAACACAGCATGTTTTACTGAGTTGTCAAGCTAAACAAATTCATAATAATGTAAATCGCATATAAATAATATAAATTATCTTTTTTTTTTTTTTTTGAACTTAGGCTTAATATAAATTATCTTCACTTTATGTTGTTAATATTTGTTTGAATTAAACGTTACAGGGGATGTTTGTTCTATGGCTAACGGCGATGTTACCGCAAGTGAAGCCATCACCGTGTGTAGCATCTACCGTAACCAAGTGCAGTTCTACAGCTGCAACATCTTCCCAGCTGGCTCTTTTGTATTTCGCGTTTGCACTTATATCGATTGGATCTGGTGGAATCAGGCCGTGTTCTCTAGCCTTTGGTGCTGATCAATTAGATAACAAAGAGAATCCCAAGAACGAGAGAGTTCTTGAGAGTTTCTTTGGTTGGTACTACGCTTCTTCATCTGTTGCTGTCTTGATCGCTTTCACTGTCATTGTTTACATTCAAGATCATTTGGGATGGAGAATAGGGTTTGGAGTACCAGCGATTCTCATGCTAGTGGCGAGTATTGTGTTTGTTTTTGCGTCTCCTCTCTATGTTAAACGCAATTCCACCAAGAGCTTGTTCACTGGTTTAGCTCAAGTGGCTGTTGCAGCTTACGTGAACAGGAAGTTAGTATTACCGGTTCATAATGACTCTTATGGCAGTTATTACCACCTGAACGATTCTGAACTTAAAGCTCCAAGTGAAAAATTGAGGTAAAATAAAATTAAGTTATATTTATATATCTGAGTAATAAAATGATTTTTTGATGTCAAAAAAAATTATATCTCGTTCTGATTTGGTTTAATGAGCTTTGACATTGTATTGCAATTAATTAGGTTTTTGAATAAAGCTTGTGTAACAAGAAACCGAGAGGAAGACATTGGTGCTGATGGTTTAGCCTTAAACCCATGGAGACTCTGTACAACGGACCAAGTTGAGGAACTCAAGGCTTTGGTCAAGGTGATACCGGTATGGTCCACAGGGATAATGATGTCTATAAACGTTAGCCAAAACTCGTTTCAGTTGCTTCAAGCTAACTCAATGGACAGACGTTTGAGCGACCATTCAACCTTCAAAATCCCACCTGGTTCTTTTGGCATGTTCACAATCATAGCCCTAATCTCATGGGTGGTTCTCTACGACCGTGCAATCCTCCCATTAGCTTCCAAGATCCGAGGCAGACCGGTTAGAATCAATGTCAAGATCAGAATGGGGTTAGGTCTATTCATATCATTCCTAGCAATGGCGGTTTCCGCAACTGTTGAGCATTATAGAAGGAGAACCGCGATAAGCCAAAGACTTGCGAACAACGCCAACGCGACAGTGAACATCTCAGCGATGTGGCTTGTACCACAGTATGTGCTTCATGGTTTGGCAGAGGCCTTAACCGGGATAGGACAGACGGAGTTTTTCTATACCGAGTTTCCTAAAAGCATGTCGAGCATTGCGGCTGCGTTGTTTGGTCTAGGAATGGCAGTGGCTAATATATTGGCTAGTGTGATTCTCAATGTGGTCAAGAATAGCTCAAAGAAGGGTGGAGAGAGCTGGATTGAAGATAATATCAACAAGGGTCATTATGATTATTACTATTGGGTTTTAGCGATGTTGAGCTTCGTTAATGTCATTTATTACATGGTGTGTAGCTGGTCGTATGGTCCCACGGTGGACCAGTTGAGGAATGATAAGGTTAATGGCGTGAGAGAGGAGGAACAAGAAGACGTTGTTAAATTAAACTAATGATTTCCTGATCCATGGTGTGTGTTATATAATTTTATATTTATATGTATGTACTTAGTTGGACTTATAGGAAGTAGGAGGATATTATATTAGTAGGTGTGCTTATTACTTCTTACAAAAGCCATTGTTGATGTGTAAGATTATTTTGATTAAAGAGAATCAAATCTTTAAAATGGTAACTGTGCTATAAATAGTATGTTTTAATTTGAGAAAAATATAATAATAATTTAAAGCTTACTAAGATTAGAAGCAGTGTGTTTGACTTTGAGACTGAGTGGAGCCATCCACAACCTTCCTGTGGCTATGAGTTCTCCATCTCTTTCTCTTCTAATCTCAATCACAGATGATTTTAGCCTTCCATTGGTCCCCTTCACTCTTGCTTCTACCTCTACTTTTTCCTGCAAATTTAATCTTATCTATAACTATTTTTATTTTAATTAAATATTATAGTTTTAGAGCACGTGCTATAAAGGACAACAAAAATGATTGTTGTCATAACCATAACCATAAACTGAGTTTTCTTTGGTTAGTAAAAGTCATTATAAACGAACCAATTCACATTTATCTTGTAAGTTAGTAATTTATCATACTAACTTAAAAGATAAATGTAATTACTAACTTACATATTTCATCTTATCTAATCTACTATTTACCATGCAACAATGTTAATAACACGTGACAAAACAAAAGGATAGAGAACACGAACATGAATCTTGGCCGTTGAATAAAACGAAGCGTTGAGATCAACAGAGGAATGGAGTCCGTCGCCGGTGGAGTAGACAGAAGCAGCACCGATCGCATCCATCACCGCCGTAATCACTCCGGCGTGCGAAGTTCCATCATCTCCCTGAGAATCACATGATGATCATCATTCATATATTAAAATTCACCAATTAATATAGAACAAAACAAAAAAAAAAGGATCAAATTATCTTTATTTACCACGACACGATCCGTAACGAGTAGTTTACATCGTATGATTCCTTTTCCGACATGGATGAGTTCTAAGCCTTGTAAGATTAAAACCTCTATCTCGCTTAAACCGTTCCCTTGCGCTAACGCTTCTAGATACGTCGTCGTGTTTAGGATTGTTGAGTCTTCCATGTTCGATTTTGAGGATAAAGAACTTATCTGTTGAATATAAGAGCAGATTACTAATTATTAATTACCATTTATATCCTTTGCGTTATTGTGTTTGTGATTGGCCAACGCTAACTATTTAAACTAAACGGTCGCAATGTCGGCATCAAAGACATTTTGGTCAACGCTAATCCTTTTTAACACTTTGTTCTTCATGACCATGAGCAAAGTACATAGTCATATAAATAAACTAAAATTTATTTTCAAACAGTGTGGTCTTTTGATTACTGACCTTGTTTAGGTCAACAATATAATATATAAATTTTATTTATTAATTTTATTAATGCAAGTGTTGTATTACAATCAAAGAACAAAGAAGCAGATAAAGAGATCCATGGTTGTCTGAGAATAATCTGCTCCTGATGATCCAGAGATTTCTTTAGTTCTTTCTTGTTTACCGGCAACTCAAAAAGTATCAGAATGATTCTTATTTACACCAAACAACCATCTCTTTCAAGTCATGATTAGTGACTTTGCAGATTTAAATGTGATTCTGCAAGTATTTTACTAATCAATAAAAATTGTGAAATTAAAAAAAAAACATAAAATCGTAAATATGAGTTATCGTTAACAAAAATACAAAAAATATGAAGTGGAAAAATGAGTTTTAATAGATTATTTATGAAATTAATATTTTATATTATTTAATTATATGATAACACCATTTTAAAAGACTGTTAGTTACCTTTCCCATGGCGTTGCGTTGCGAGGCAAGCTTTCCCATATCAACAAACTTGTTGGTGGCTGAAAAGAAAAGAAAAAGTTATGGGCAAGAAGGTGAATACTTTTTCTTTTTTGGGGTGTAGATGTTAAATGATGGTGGATACTTTAACAGACTATAGTGGGTCTGTTACTACAACGCCTGGCCAGTTGTTTTATAGAGACTACCTTGTAAGGTATGATTAATCAAAAAGCTAAAATGGGTGATGAATGTTACCTCGAGTAGGGTTGATTCTATTTCCAAGGCAGATAACTTGTATCCTCCAACCTTCTTAATATCAGCGCTAGTACCTGATCCAACACCAGATAAGAGAATATCCCCATAGAGAAACAAACACAAAGCACTCATGGATTGTGTTTGAATGTTTCTGCTTACGTCCTAGAATTACGTTAAGTCCATCCTCATATACTCTACCAACATCCCCGGTCTTGAAGTATCCAATCTTCAGTGAACGATTCTTTAGTCACTTGTGGAAGATTCCAGTACTCCTTGAATAACGATGGACTCTTTAGACAGATCTCATTTACTCCATCAGTATTGTTTTCATCATGTTCGATCTTAGCCTATAATGTTTGTTTACACACTTCTTTTTCAGTTTCATAGCTTTGTATCTCAAACAATATTAGTACCTTAGCTGTGTGACATTAGTTATAAGATATTACTGACCTCAACACCGGTAAGTGGTTTCCCCACGGTACCTGCCTTCCTTGCACCACGTAAGGGGTTTGATATTGCCATCACAAACTATAAAATTTAAATAAAAAATTAATCAGATTGGACTACTAAGAACAATGGCATAAAGATACCTAAATTAGACAGGAAAAGACTTACCTCAGTCATGCCATAACGTTCCAAAAGACGGTGACCTGTGATACTTTCCCACTGATGCATGACCGGTCTAGGAAGAGCAGAGGAGCCAGACATCTGTACTTCATCAGCAAACATTTAAGCACTAAGGATATATGAATGATAGAAGTAACTAAGCTGGATTAGCGCTTCTCAGATGTTTGGTTGCTTACCTGTAGGCGAAGCTTCTGTGCAGCGAAAGCGCTAGACTCTTTTGATTCTTAATCCATTGCTTCATAACCTNTCATCAGCAAACATTTAAGCACTAAGGATATATGAATGATAGAAGTAACTAAGCTGGATTAGCGCTTCTCAGATGTTTGGTTGCTTACCTGTAGGCGAAGCTTCTGTGCAGCGAAAGCGCTAGACTCTTTTGATTCTTAATCCATTGCTTCATAACCTTGTATCAACCGAGTATACATGGTTGGAACCTGTATATCACAGCATTCACTTTTTTACCAATTGAAAGGCTTAAATATCTCTCTCTCAAGCTAAATCTTGGTAAGAAACTGATTGAATCAGCCCAACAAGTCTATCATTATACACGTTGGCAATATATAATTTTTTTTTATTTATAATACATTAATATTTCAAGTGATATACATTTCATTTATTTCGACATATTTCACATGAAATGTTTTTTTTTTCTAATATAAGAATATGCCATATTAAGTGTCTCGCTATCGAAACAAGGGCAAATGCTATATTTCGATGGTGGTAAGGTTTAACTATGGGAATGTTATTTTGAATATGATTCCAAAGATCTTGTTGAGGCTTCACAGGAAAAGGTAGGTCGGCCTATGATCCATGCTCACATCCAAGATACAGGTCTCATGTTTGCTCTCAAAGATAGGCGATCACAAGGTGGTGGCTTTTCAAGGTAGAGGATGTAATACAGTGGCAGACAGAATTGCTAAGAATAAATAAAGGCTCCTACTCAATAATCTGTTGTGACAAATGGGATAAGCTCTTTTTGTGGATGATGATAAACATTATTATGTGTAAATGATCTTAGTATGAAGTTTGAGGCCAAAAAAATGTGTCACTAATAAAAATGTTTCCAAAGTTTTGTAGCTTTGCCTAAGAAGTACAATAAAAATTGAGTTTGAAAAAATCACCTCGAAATGTAAAACAAACAAATATCTTCCTATACTACCCTCGTTCCCTCCAAGATCAATCTCACTCTCTCTCCATTTTTTGAAAATTCGTTTCAAGAAAACCGTTTGGTTACCGGGAAAACTCTTGATCATCGTTACGGTTAGGATCCAGCGCTATCTATTTTTTACTCTCATATCCCTCATCTGATCTATAATTCGAAGCTGCTCTGTAAAAGGATTCTCTCGCCGAATCATCCTCAAATCGTCACACAGCCAAATCGATTGATTAACTTCTCCGGCGACTATGCGTACACCTAACACAGATTCCGCCGCCACAGCGACAGAGACGAACCCTAGGGAGCTCGTTTTCACCAAATTAGAGTCATCTCTCCTCGTCTCTGACTCTGACTCTCCTCCCAAAGAACTTCCTCTCTTCCCTCCGATCTCTCGGTTCGTGTCATTTAACTTCTTCGATCCATAAGTTGTTAGATCATTATCTATAAGAACTAAGTTGATCATTCTCTAATAATTTTGAAGCAGAGATCCTTCAGATGAGGAAGGCATTACATGGAGGAAGCAGAGAGGTTGTGGCTGCAGGCAGTCTAAATGTTTAAAATTGTAAGATTGTTTCAAATAATTAATCTCTTTAGCATATCAATGAAACTAGTCTTTGTGTCATGTTTAGATTACACTTACCTTTGGCGTACAGCACTGATTGATTTGTTATTAATAGGTACTGTGACTGCTTTGCATCAGGAGTGTTATGTAACGAATGTGATTGTGCTGATTGTCATAACAATACTGAGAACTTTTATATCAGAGAAGAAGCTGTTTTGAATGTGCTAGATCGCAATCCAAATGCATTCAATGGAAAGTCTCCCAGCTTCCTAACTGATAAGCAGGTGTGTCCTTCAAATCCTCTACCACTTTGTGAGACTGAAGAAAGAATAGCTTTACCCACAAAACGATAATTGAATGAACTGTGCTTTGTATGCTAGTGTAAGTTTGCAACTGATACTAAACCTGGACTGCTTTCGAGAGGCTGTAAATGCAAAAGAACAAAGTGCTTGAAGAAGTACTGTGAATGCTTTCAGGCTAATGCTATGTGTTCTGATAACTGTAAATGCATCAACTGCGAGAATGTCAATGCTCTAGGAACCATTTCTGCTCAGAGTTCTCTACAGGTATACCGGATGAGAAGATACAGAGAGGTAACTGACGCAAGTGAACTATACTCTAACCACTGTTAGGTTTTCTATCCACATACTCATTTTTCAATTTTTATGGAATAGCAGTGGAATTCTTGTCCAGCTCCTTTAAGTTCAATGCCTGACAATTACATTCTAGATTCTCTTGAGTCCCCTATCTATAGCTCTACTAAACTCCCTTACCGGTACGCTTCTAGCCTTTTCCTACATGATATATATCCTTGTCCTTTACCTTATAGTCAACTGCATTTTGTTGTGACATCAGAAAGAAAAGGTCACGGCTAGGATATACCAACAAACTTGTTTCAAACTTGGGAGATCTAAGATCGCTTCTCTTAGCAGCATCTGAATCTGCTACAGCCAATGCAGGTAACAACTGTCTTATAGAAACTCAGCTTTGTAATAGATCTACCATTCATTCTTTGCTTGGTTTAGAAGACAAGAACATCATATGCATAAAGCCTGATGATAAGGAAGACAATGAACTATGGGATGATGAGTCTGAGAGCTGTATTGTGGAAGAAGAAGATATACAATCATGTGGAAGATTGATCCAGCTTATTGATGCTCAATACAATGGAGAGGTGGATTCCCAAACCAAGACAAGTTTCAATGAAAGAGATATATACATGGTTCAGGAACGAGCAGTGCTTGAAACTTTCAGAGACTGCCTCCACAAGTACATGAAGGTTGGATTCATGTAAGGTACTAACTACTAGTACTACCACTCTTAGTTGCAATTTCGTGAGCTGAATTGTTATTACCAATGAAGCAGAGACAAATCATAAACATTAAACTCACAAATCGTAACCACACAGTAGTAACGGAACTCAAGAGCTTTCTCACTCCCACATAGCAACCTCCATGAACCCATCCTCTGTTAAACATCCCATTAGAGTTAAAACCACTAACCACCTCTCCTTTATTCGACACAGCGATGGGTCCAGCGAACCCTTCGTCGAGTCGATGCTTGATATGACCATACCACTACAAAAAGAGTTTTCTAGCATCATAATTTTATACATATTTTGCATTAGGTATAATTTTTTTGCATGACTTAAATAAATCATTCTAAAGTGGTGACGTAAATAATTTACATCAATTTATAAATAAATGATATATAAATACTAAATATTTACTTCTTCAAAACATCTACTCTATTAAAATAGAGTCATTCTCTTTTTTAACTGATACAAGTTGTCATTTAAATTTGGACCCTTTCTAGAATGTTACAAATAATATAAGTCATATAATTGATTGAACTGTATTACTTAAATTAAACCAACACAATTAATGTAAAAAGACGATATTAATGGAAACTACTTTCAAAATACGGCAGGTATCTATATGTATACAGAAAACACATATTTTCTCCTACAAATATGGAATGTTCTAAAAGAATATATATCATCAAAATATGGAATATGAAAATCTACTAATTATACTTAAATTAAACCAATGATTATTTATAGAATATATTCTAGGGATTACTTTTATTTTTTGAACAAATTATATAGTTTGGTTTTTGGGCATACTATTAAAAAAAAACTCCAAAAACATTGAATAAACTTTTCACCTTAAAAAATCAAAAAATCAATTATTATTTTCAGACCCAAAAGGTATTTAATATTTTTAACAAAACAAGATTATCTATTATTAATCATTTATTTAAATCATGTACTTTAAAACATGTTAATATATCTCTATAATATTATTTGAGAAGTCAGTTTCCTACGTGTCGCGCTCACATTAACTCTCGCGATGGTTGATTACAGAGATACCCTTAATGAATTGTTAGATTTTAAGATTATTATTATTTTTTTTTTGTAATTTCTTTTTTACATTTTTCCAAATAACATATATAATAAAAAGGAAATATTTCTAAAATTTTAAAATAAATTTTAAAACGAAATTTTATTTATATAACATGACTTTATTAAAAAGGAAAGTTCACAAAATAGTAATACCCCACTAATATATATTTTAAATAACATAAAATATATTTTCAAAATAATAAAAATATATATGTTCGTGAACATTCAAAAATTTATCAGTTACAGTTTATTTTCTAATATTGTTTAAAAATCAACATATAATTTGACAAATATTATGAAAATATAATTTGAATTGACTTAACTAAAATAAAGANAATTTATCAGTTACAGTTTATTTTCTAATATTGTTTAAAAATCAACATATAATTTGACAAATATTATGAAAATATAATTTGAATTGACTTAACTAAAATAAAGAGTAAATAAATATTATGAAAATACATGTATATTTAAGCAATACATAAAACTAATTTGATTGGACTTAACTAAAATAAAAAGTAATTATATTTCAATCTTAATTTAAAAATATATTTAACTCAATATACTCACAAAATGAATGACTCGACTAATCTAATTTATATCCAAATTAAACATCTAACTACAATAAGAACATATAATTTATAATAATAATATATTTAATTTTATAATATTATTTGAGAAGTCAGTTTCCTACGTGTCGCACTCACGTTAACTCTCGCGATGGTTGATTAGATAGATACTCTTAATGAATTATTAGATTTTCAGATTATTATTAATTTTTTTTTGTAATTTCTTTTTTACATTTTTCCAAATAACATATATAATAAAAAGGAAATATTTCTAAAGTTTTAAAACAAATTTAAAAACGAAATTTTATTTATATAATATGACTTTATTAAAAAGGAAAGTTCACAAAATAGTAATACCCCACTAATATATATTTTAAATAACATAAAATATATTTTCAAAATAATAAAAATATTTATGTTCATGAACATCCAAAAATTTTATCAGTTACATTTTATTTTCTAATATTGTTTAGAAATAAACATATAATTTGATAAATATTTTGAAAATATAATTTGATTTGACTTAACTAAAATAAAGAGTAAATAAATATTATGAAAATACATGTATATTTAAGCGATACATAAAACTAATTTGATTTGACTTTACTAAAATAAAAAGTAATTATACTTCAATTTTAATTTAAAAATAAATTTAACTCAATATACTCACAAAATGAATGAATCGGGTAATCTAATTTATATCCAAATTAAATATTTAACTACAATAAGAACATATAATTTATAATAATAATATATTTAATTTTATATGTATAAACTAGAGGTTGACTCAAAGCATATTAAAAATAAAAAGAAAATATTAACCAATTACAATTTAATTCTTTTGTAGAATTTATATATATGCATGAGACTTAAAAATATTATCATTATATTAATTTATGTAATTTTGAATCAAGCACTTCAACTTATTATTTATTTCTTTTTAAGCACAATATATATTAAGTTATACATAATTTAACCATAGTATATTTACATATCTAAGAATATATTTACATATCTAAGACAATAACGAACCGAAATGAAATAATAAAATTAATCAAAGTTTTATTATATTTAGAATAAAATTATTATAGTTGAACTCGAAAAATAGATATTATTCAATATACCAAATTGATATATAAACCGACTATTAATCCAAAAAATAATTAAATCAAAAATAATATATCCAAAGTCATATGTATAGTTATAATAATATAATATATTAATATAAATTATAAATATAAATTGATTCAAAACTAAAACTAAATATCAATTAATTATTATAAAATTTTACTTTTATGAATGTGCATACCCGTGCATGAGCACGGGAAAATCACCTAGTTTTTTATTTTAAATAACAATCACTTTGTTTTGATAAATTTCAATTGTAACTTTTAAATAATTTATTGTTTTATTTGTCTTAAATAATTTACTGATTAAAAAATGTAAAGCAAAACCAAAAACCAAATCTAAAAACTAAAATCCAAAACCAAAAGCTGAAAACACATGTTATATTTTTTTACTTTGTTTATTTACAAAATAAACTATTTCAAATTTATTTTTTAAATTTGTTATCATCTTTTCAGTTTTAAATTAGATGTTCGATTATTTGAGATTTGTTTGTTGGTAATATTAGTTCAAACTAACTCAGCGGGTTTAAAAATTAAAAACCCAAACCAAAAACTGAAAATGAAAAGTAGAAACTTAAAAACTAAAAACCAAAAATCAAAATCTAAAATAAAAACTGAAACTAAAAACTAATGAAAAACAATCATCACCACAAATTTTGGTGAACTGATTTTATATCAAAATATTCTTTAAATTAAGACAAAACCAAATTACATAAATTTTTAATCATAAAAAATTTCCGCGCTTTCAAGCGCGGATCACAATCTAGTATATGCTTAAATAAGTCATTCTAGCCGAGATTAAAAATCAAATCGTTAATTGTAACTTACGAAACTTAACGGTCGACTTTTAGCGGGACTTGAATAGCTTAGTTAATGATAATATGAGATATATCTAACCTATTAGTTTAGGATTCTATTTAAATTTTATCTTAGTATGTTTTTAATTTGGGCATATTGAGATGTTGTGACTAGATATAAAGACATGCTTCTTATACAATTTTATATTTGATTATATCTTCAAAATTTTAATCTATGTATTTCTATTTCTAATGATTTCATTAATATTATTTTAGTTTAAACATAGTTTTAAAGATACAAATAATTATAAAATCATATGAATATGAATTTCATTTAATATACATATATTCAGATTGAATACATACTAGAATATTGTTTAACTTAAACTATATATCATATAAAATACATATATACTTTGTTATATCATATCAAACCAAACAAACATTAATAAAATGACTGATTTGATTTATTTACTTTGATTTATGCGCTTATTCATGTTTAACTATGTACATAATATATATTTTGTTCTCAGTTATTCAATATATTTATTATTTCATAATATGTAATTGACCATAAAATAAATAATAATATATAAAAATCATTTGTATACATAAAGTTCATCCCGCGAAATACACAGATCTTTGTTGATGTATTACAGTAAGAATCTTCTCTCAATTGATCGAAGTTCATGTTTTCCAAGAAAGCTTGCGCCAAATTAAAACAATGACAAAACAAATATGAGTTAATAGAAACGCAATCGTAAGCACAAATAATGTAGATTTAAACAAGAAATCATATGTGTAGAGTCAAAGAAAGTTTGAGATCAACCAAAACTCTAATTCCCTTTTCGATTGCAAGCCAGCACTTTTAATATTTGTCATTTCTGTATCCGGTAAAAGAGTGGATCAAAAAGGAATTTTTCTTATGTATTGTTCAGTCCAAGCATTTAATTAATTGGCTTTTATGAAACCAGTTTATCAACACTTTGGTCCGATGTAGAGTATTAGTCATGCGAGTTCGGTTTTCCGATCGGTTAACCAAAATTTTGAAAATCATTTTTGAAATTAACCAAATTAAATTTTGGTTCGGTTTGGTTATCGGTTATTTTTGGTTTCAGTTTATTTGTGAAAATAACTGATTATTTTGGTTTTTCATTACTTTCGGTATATATTTTTAAAATATCAGATTTTTTTGTTTTAATTTGGTTATTTTTATTAATTTCGAGTATTTTTGTTTTTTCAGTCAAATTTTATTTGGTTTTTTTGGTTAGTTTCAGTTATTTTTGAATGTTAAAAAAAAAACAAAAAAAAAACGAATCGAATCGAACTGATAACCAAATCAACTTTAAAACTCTACCAAACCAAACCTGACTCAAAACCAAAACCAAAACCGATAA